TTGTAAAAAAAAAAAAAAAAAAAAAAAAAAAGCCGAGAAGTCTAATCCACCTCTGGATATAACGATATGGCTGGTGACACTAAAAAAAGTATCGTTATGTCGTTATATAAATCTTGTTTATAGTAAGTTGTCCATTTTTCTGTGTTCGTCATTTTTTACACGTGTGATGACATTAAAATGATATCGATATGATATCTATTTTGTTATCGTTATCAAGTGATAAATGACAAAATCAGAATGGTATCAATCAGTTAGTAATATTTGTCTAGCTTTTACGTATCGTGTTCACTAACACAATTCAAATAGACTTTTTTGTTTATTTGTAACCTTATTTTAAATTGCTGTAATGTCACAAGGTTTGTAAAAGGCAATTAGTGAATGAAATTACAATAATTAAATGTTAATTAAACGTGCATGCATGAATAGAAAAGAATGAAAACTTGCTAATTAAGTTCACGTTATCGGAGGTTCTAACCGTATCAGAGATTAATTTGATTTGTTTAAAAATTTTTGAACACGTAAAGCTTCGTTCTTAAACTAAAAAAATATATATTCATATAAGTAGGTTTATATTTTTTGAAATAACAATAAGCAAAAATCAATACACTTTTTAATTGAACTTGCATTGATTTAATTAAGCAAGAAAATGAAATTTCCTTTCTTTCGTAAAGCATTAAGCCAAAGTCTGCATTTACACATATGCATAAATAAAATTTTTTAAAGTAAATGTATAAATAAAAAAAATTTATGACTAACCTGTATAGTAACATCACTATCTAAATAATGTTACGGTTACAATAGCATTTGGTGACATGTCGATAGTGTTACTGCACCAACCGGGTAGCTGACTGTACTCCAAAGGGTTACGTATGAATGAGTCTGATAGCTATACCCTAACCCTTAATAAGATAAATACGCGTAATTGTACCAGGTTACTCATCGAGGCAGATCGACTATAACGATAACCCAGATTCAGTTAATCCAAGTTTTAATTAATGCTTCGGTTAACGGAGTTGACTATAATCAACTTTTATCAGAAAATTGGCGACTTATATTCCGGATCTTAGTAAATGTTAGCGGAATAAAAGCGAAGCTTTTTTACAAGGTTAAATATCTATATTAAATTTACCTAGCATTCTTTGTAGATAAATAGTTTATACAGTCATTTCCAATTTGTGTGTCTTAATTAATGTAATTAGGTAATTCATTTCTGCTATGATTTTCTAATACTTTGAATTTTTGTAATACAGATAATAATGATGACTTAAGCCAAGACTAAAAAAGATTAGTCTTAGTATAATGTTATGTCATTGCATTTTACAATGGGTGAGCTTTAGTCGGCGCTAGTCATTTCATATCAATTTGCTACATGAATCAAAATAATTTTGGAATTCCGAGATCGTTATGACATTGTTGTGCATTGCATATTAACGTAGTGCCTTAATGTGTGACTTCAATGCCGATACGATAAAGTCTACTATAGTACTCGAGATACTACGATAGAGGAATACTGTGCTTGGATAGGTTGGAGGAGGATATTATGCAGGAGAATGTTATCGTGATGAATATAATAATTGCATTATTTTTTGACTAACTAATAATACGTTGAACGTCCATATGTACCCAGTACTTTACAAATATCTTGCAATACACCATGTATAGTACCCGTATCTTTTACAACGATAATTACTAAGAAAAGGAAAGGGGCTACTATGCTAAGGGAGGTATTTTATTCCACAAAGTACGGTACTTTTGTAAAATTAGCGAACCAGGAAATCCACATCTAGATCAATAATAAAAAATATTCTATTTTATGACACTCCGATCTAAACGAAAAATTGTAGATAGATTTCGTAAGGTAGAACATTTTTTATTATAGCCCAAATTAAGTTTTTTCAGTTAAAAGGTTCATTCAATGTCAAAAATTTACCAATTGAAAATATCGTGTAGATCACTTAATTTTATAATATATTACGCAATATCGATATCTTAGGGTGAGGGGATTTCATGCTGTTAGTACCACGTGATATGTGATGAGGTCTATATCAAATGGATATTACATAATAAATGTCAGGGCCCTCAAAGATTTCTAAAAATTAGAAATCAAATTTCAATTTGGAAGTGCTAGAATTGTTGCAATAGTTATGGAAGTCACCGTCTTACTGACGTCGACATCTTATCAACTGGATAAAGAAACTTAAGATAGGCTATAGCCAGCTCATAATTCCAATGATCTAAATGCAAATGAAACGCATAATAATACTATTTTCTTATAACATACAAAAAGTTTAAGAAATCCAATAAAAAGTTTTTTAAAAGAAAAAATTTTAATTTGTTCAAAAGCTTCTATTGTAGTAAACTCGTTTCGATATTGAAGCGATTAAGCGCCTACAAATTTCTATATTTATACGTTCGTATTGTCCTTACAATACCATTGTGATTGTAAAACGAAAAACATGAAATCATAATGTACGTACTATGACATTCAATCAGGAAATACTAGTTGTCGTTGTAATACACATATCTATCTGTTCTTGTCATTAGTATCAAAGCATATTTAGTATATTTTATTCAGGTATAAAGCACAAAAAAGTAACACGACTACCTTTAATCTATATGATATGCCTTAAATTGTACCTTTTATTTTACGTTATGACACTCCTATAACAACTTCATAAACTTCTCCGAATTATTTTACTTTAATAAAATTTTTACTATACACTGCATAAATTAAAATTTTTATATATTCTTTTGCTTATTTATAAAGGAAACAAAGCAAAATGAGATAAAAATAGAGAGTTCGTTGATTAATTTCCATTTCCTCCTTTTTTTTAGCCTCCAAAATTGCACTCTTCCGAAATGCATTCATTCATCAATTTATTGTTCATTTATAAACTTGGAGAAACAATTTTATTGTACATATTTTGTATTGTTCGGACAACCTTTTTAGGCATTAAAGGAGTTTAATAATACATTCACATATCCCCTCACTCCTTATAGAACCAAATTAAGAAATAAAAAAAATTTTTTATATACAACTTATTCGACCTTTTTGATACACGAATTATTATATTGTTCCCATAAAAGATTAGTTCGGAATTACGTTTTCGAGATCCAATGCCTAAACATTATTCACATGACAATTGTTGCATAATCAAATTATGTGAACTTCCAAATAAATAAAGTATCTTTCTTTCAAAGTCTACGACACATGATTTCGGAAAGTTGATTAAATCGATTGTCTGCAAGTTTATCAAAAAAAAAAGTTGAATTAGATTCCAATAGTGACTTATCCATCCATCCATCCATTTTCAAAAGATGAGACATTTGATCAAGAGTATACATTGGGGGCCGTCGGTAAAAACCAAGCAAATTATATAGATTGCATATGTAATTTGCTTGGTTTTTACTGACAGGATCCCATATGGTCAAGTAGATGAGTGAAATCTTTGGCTGCGTTACCTGTCAATTGAATTTCGGGAATTGAATATTTGAAAATTTGGGAAGAACGCAAAGTACACAAAACGAAGTGTTTTCCACGATAATGATAATATCGTCATCTTCATAATATTGTGTTGTATGTAAACTCGCTTTAGATATAGTGAATGTGTCCGAACCGAGAAAATTTATTATAGACTGGTTTGATTGATCGAGTGTTCATTTTATTTATACGTTTACTTGTTTTCAATTGATATCAATCATAGCGATAGAGATATATCAATGCTTATTTTAGTTACAAAAGAAAATGTTTCTTGAATAAATTATTTGTAACTACTGCTATACTAAAAAATCAATTACAAAAAGAACATGAGGATACCATCATCAAATGATATACTTTACATTCTAGACATCTTCCACCAAGAAACACGAAACACACAAAAATTGTTCGAATTTTTAGCTCAAAATATCGATACATTGAACTCAACACAAATCCTTGGACTAAGCTTTTTAATCTGGTTAAATTGCACGATCTTAGTAACATATTTTGTTATTGCGATATTTGGAATTTTAACTTGCATTGGACTCGGCTTGGGAATTTTATTATTGACGGCTGTGTGCATCAGTTTCTTGGTAGTCGGGTTATGCATGTTTGGTGAGTTATACATGTACTAGTAATAATAATAATGTTCCAATTTGTGAAACATCTTTGATTCTCTTTTTCAATTAGTTATTTTGGCTGCACCACCTTGCGTGCCTTTTGTTTTTGTTTTTCTAATGGTTGAATGGTGTAATTTTTACGGAATTGTGAATTAACCCCAAATATGTATACGTATAAATGAAACACCCAGAGAAAAGATCTAAATGATTGGATTGATTATAAAATGATTAGATTACCAAATTGAAAAGATCCTTTTTTTATTGTCAGTGTAGTTTAAAAAATTTTTTTATTCGAAAAAAATCTTTTTTTTTTTAAGCTTGAAGCAAACACTGAACCTGCAGTTATATATTTCAAACATCTTTTGCATCAAAATAGTTATTTACGTATCGAAATACTCCGCTTCACGTAATGCGCAGATTTATTGTCTCCGGATCGTCGATAAAAAAATGTCTATTTTAGGGTGTGTTTCGGGCGGTCAAAGCTATGCCTTTTTAGAACATCTTTCGGAGTGATATCGATATTTTCATTATAGCAATACTTTTTCTGTGTACGGGCATCTGTATTAATGCACAAATAGCATCTAGAGCGCAAACGGAACAGATTAAAGTGATTACTTTGGTTAACAAAGACGTTTTGTTCCGTTTGCCGGAATTGTTATCGTTATTGTGCAAAGTTTGATCAGCAATGATTTTCCGCTCTATTTATGGAACCGCTACATTGAAAAAGTACATGTAACTCTTGGATTTTAAAATGTCTAAGAAATATGTGTTCTAGCAAATTTGGTGAAACTCGAAAAAAATAAACGAGCAAAACGCCAAATAATTGTTAAACTCTTGGCTAATAGAAAAGTGCGGTTAATCACGTATTAACCGTTTCACGTAACTCTCTTGCGATGTTCTGTCTAGCATTTCCTCAACTGTCTGGTCACAAGGAGATTCAAATCTCTCTTGTAGTGTTCTAATTGTCCTCTTTTCAGACTTCGAAAAAATTGTAGGAATTCTCCTATTTCAATCTCGGTTTCTTCTGCTTCGGTCGGCCGGACATTGATGTAATGCCGACAAAATTCTGTATAATTCGAGCTGGAAATATTACCTATCGAGACTGCTGTTAAACAATTGAGCATTTAAGCAATTCTAATGTTAGCTTTTCATTTACGTTCTCTTTTTTCATTTGAGAATCTATTTAAAAATCCAAGCAAATTCAAAGAATTGGCGAAGTCAACTTATAATTAGGTGAACTTTTTTATTATTAAAATATGTTTTTACAATCAATCCTAAAGGATTTAGCTATACACTTATAAATTTACAATTACAATAAAGTTTCAACCTCAGTTTTATGTTTTTGATGATTAAGCGCGTCGTTACTCTTTTCCGCCAAGTTTAATTGATCAACAGTCGAAAACTGCGTATTCTTATTTTTTTGTTCTTCAGAATTCACGTAAAGTGTGGTTTTTTCCAATTTTTTAGGGTTTGTTGTTGCGATTTTTTTCGGCTTCATTGCCATTGTTATTGGAATAGATTTTGTTAACTTTGGTTGATTTAAGCTGTATTTAGGAGTGACCATATTCTCATGGAAATTTGGCTCGTTCAGAGGAGAAACAGGTAGTGCGAGTGTGAAGCTTATTAGATTAATAACCGTAATTGAGAAATTGATGGTTTTTAGTGTAGGCATATTTTATAATTATATTTAAGACAGCAGCTTATAAATTTTTTGTTTTATATTTTCTATTTTTTTTTAGGTTTTTGCGATGCTAAGAACCAATTTCTTATTAGAGAGAGGACGAGCTTTTAGTTTTTTTGTTTATAAATATAACTGAAGGAATTTGTTAAATTTTAGTTCATCATGATTATTTTGATAGATTCAAATAAAGCGATAATATTTTTAGCTTTTTACGCAGTAAACAACATGACTCCATAATTTTGGCCTAAATTACACTAATATTCAGCCTGAATTTAAGAATTATAAAAGGGATTTTTACCCATTGATTTGTACTGGGTCTAAATCAACGGGGGTATAGTAAATAGTTTATTGGTCCCATTGATTCAGTACAATCACTGGACCTGTCCGTTGACAACACTGATATCAAGGGGATATTTTGCGCAGCGAATTACGGTGGTCACGAAGATAAATATATGGTTGCGTAAACAAAATAAATTGATAGAATACAGTTTCGAAATTTTTTAAAATAAATAGTCTTAACAGTATAATAATCCTTTTTTGGTATTCAATCACAAGATCTTTTTGATAAAGTTCAGTCAAGGCGGTATGCCCGTACACAAAGAAAGGATCGTTATAACTTTAAAAGCGGTTAGAGTAGTTGGTTACACAATAGCGCTATAGAAAGTTATAAGCTATAACCAACTTTGACTGTATTAACTGCGCAATCAAAACAGCAAATAATGCATTGTGGATCCGCATGCGTATAATCGCGGAAATTAAGAACTGGCACAATGAAGTTATGAAATCCATGCCAACATCCATAGTAAGTCATTATGACGAGCTGTGCAGCCAATAAAATTTGCATAAAAAATACGCCATTAGGGTTTTTTCTTTTGGCGTGTATTAAAATCAAAGTAGTTTAGAATAAAAAACGATGGGTATTCCGGGATTTTTTCGCTGGCTGGCATCACATTATCCAGCAGTCGTGGAAAGAGTGACGCCTGGCGTGAAACAGTCTGCAGACTTTCTATACCTAGATATCAATGCGCTTTTTCACACCGCAAACATAAAGAAAAAAGGTAGAGGGAAAAGTAGTAGTAGGAAGTTGACCTCGGCATTAATGTTGTCAAAGGTTTTTCGACAAATGGACGACGCTATAGATTTATTTGACCCGAAAACGCTTGTATATATTACCATGGATGGTGTAGCTCCAAGAGCAAAGATGAATGAACAACGTGTTCGTCGGTATCTTGCCGTCAATATAAAACCTAAATTGCCGGCGATTGTTCCGCCGATAGGTATTCCCTCTTCATCACCCGCTTCAGAGGAAATTGCTGTAGCTAATGAAGATGCAATGACAATTGAAATGGCTGATACCGCTGATGGTGATAAAGACCGAGAGGGCACCGAAGGAAATACAGGATTTTTCTTGCCTGGTGAATCGGTCGCCATTACTCCCGGCACAAAATTTATGCAAGCTGCCAATGAAGCTGTAAGGTTTTATGTCTTCCAAAGATTGAATGGCCGCCGAAAACATCTTCAGATCATCTTTAATGATTCCAGCGTGCCAGGTGAAGGGGAGCATAAGTTATTTCAATTTCTAAAAACACAACGTATGCAAAATGGTTATAATCCGCAACTTCGTCATGTTGTCTGTGGTGGAGATGCAGATTTTATCATGTACTCGCTGATGACCCACGAACCACATCTTCGAATATTAAGACCGGGCATGGGTAGAGATTTGGACATTCTACATGTGGCGAAACTGCGTAAACATCTTATCAATGATATGATGCCAAAAGATACGCCGCCAATGTCGGCTATTGATCAAGATAATATGATTGAAGATTTTGTATGTATATCAATGTTACTCGGTAATGATTTTTTGCCTAAACTTCAAGGAGTTGGAACAGCCGTGAACATCTTAATGAAAGCATATAGAGAATGCTATAAAAGTATGGGTGGCTTCATTACAGAAAAAGGCGGTACTATTAATATTAGCAGGTATCTTGTTTTTCTTCAGCAGTTGGGAAATCAAACACTTCTTAGAGGCGAAAAGTTAGCCGACCTATCTCAAATCTATTCTCTTCGATTTAATATCGATCCTGAGACCAGAGCCAAAAGGGCAAATGATTACATGAGAATATTATGTTGGGCATTTCAGTATTACACGTCAAATTGTCCAAGTTGGCGACATTTTTATCCTCATCATTTCCCTCCGTCGATTTTGGAAATCATTAAAAATGTCGACCCAACCGATTTTGATCAAAAGTTTACTACTGGTCAACCACTAAGACCGTTCGAGCAATTGATCTGTGTTCTTCCGCCAACTTGTGATTCGCTCGTTCCAGAACCATTCCGGGATTTGTTAACGGATCCTAACTCGCCTCTAAAAGATTTCTTCCCGAACAAGATGCAAGTTATCTCGGAAGTTGGTATTTTGCCTTTTATCGATGAGAAAATTTTGCTTGAATCAATGGCCTCCCGATATCCAAAGTTAAATCCCGAAGACCAAAAGAGAAATACTATTACAGGAAAAGTTCAACTATTTGCAGGTCGATTGGCACCATCATATCCAACATTGCGCACGGTTGGAAATGGTTATACAAAACAAATGGTATTAACTGCTTCATTGGGTATATTTGGTACACTCACGCAAGATGATCGCTTACAAAGAGTAATTGAAACTCCGATCAAGAAATGGGGTGACATCAATTACAATACCGTCTATAATGTACTATATCAATTACCAAAAGTAAGTGGGCATGTTCCACAACGATCGACTTCCCCACAACGGTTAACTTCTTTACAACGATCGATTTCCCCACAACGATCACGATCAACTTCTCCACAAAAAACTATTAATCTACCGCGAAATGCAACTTATCAGCGACCACAAAAACCTCAAAGTGATAAATATGGTCAAGGAACGTATCCAGAAAAATCACAATTTGGACCATATAAAGGTAAATATCAAGATAAGTCACAAACTGGCAAATATACAGAAAGATCGCAATCTGGATCCTATCAAAGCACAGGCAAATATCCACAATCTGGATCCTACCAAAGCACAGGCAAATATCCACAATCTGGATCATATCAAAGCACAGGAAAATATCCAGATAGAGCACAAACTGTCAAGTATCCAGAGAGACCTCAAAGTGGGACATTTCAGGGAGCACAAAAAACGCAAGGAACACATCCAGTTCCACGTAAATTTCCTCATCTTAATACAAGTAATCGGATACCACCTAGAACACCGATTCCTTCACATCCAATTAAAAGACCAAGATCTCCAGTTTCAAGTTCGACACCTCGAACATCTCAAAGTAACAAGAGCTTTTCGCATCTATCGTCGTTGACATTTGACGACCCCGCAAATTTTCTAGAAGACAGAAATTCTGGCTGAATGAACACCAAGACATTTATTAAATAATTAAATTTGATTATAGCATACTGGACATTTCTCTAGACATTTATTATCTAATAATTAATGAGTGCAAGCGCGAAAAAGAATAAAGTATTTCTCATGATTTACTGTTTTTTGCTTTTCTATTTTAATGTAGCTAATAAAATAATAAATATTTCGAGATATGAATCAAAGCAGCAGCCAAAAGACAATCACAAATATATTCATTATTTTAAAGGATTTTTATCGAGTAACATTAAAAATCAATTAATCCCAAACTCTTCCACCATCTCTGGCCATATAATTGTACTAATAAACTCGGGCAATGATGATGGTGCTAATTTCCCCGTAGTTGTCGCATCAGGAATGCCTTGCTTTTTATTTAGTTGCTGATGGAGGATTATAGAAACAAATGATGCAAAAGCACAAAATGATTTCGGCAGATGATAGTCAAAGTGTATCGAGTATTGTGATGACGAATTTCGACTAAAAGACGTCGAACAATAGTAATAATTAAAATAAAGCGTAGATTTATTAAAACTTATAATAATATTTGTATAAATACCCTGAAATGATTCGCACAACGATAACATGCCCTGAATGTCGTGTACTGAATTGAAGTTGTTTTACTATGGTATCACCTTCGGATTTTGATTTTATCTTTGGCTGTTTCATGATGACTTTAGGCGAATATGATATATCAAATGCGATCGAATCTGATAGAAGACGATCTGTATTGACAAACTAATAAATAAACAAATATATACATGAAACAGAGAATTAAATTAGACCTTTTGCTGAATCTCGCTTTGTTTGTTCTACATGATCATCATCCTTCCCTTTGAATATCTTTCTTGTTTGCTGCATTGATAACACATGATATTTTAATGCCCAATACCAATCCGCTAATAGATCTTCTGTATATTGGGTTTTTTGTTGTTGAATATTTTCATCTTTATTCTGTTTTATAGTATTAATCAAGACTTTTTTCCTCAATTAATTAAAAACGTAAAATAAATTTCCCTTTTACAAAAAAAAGACTTTTATTATTATTGTGTGTTACCTGGTAAATCAAGTAAAGACTCATTCAATCGCTTCATTTCTTTTCTCCATTGTCGTGGCTTACTGCCCTTTTCTCTAGTCATGTGGTTTGTGTAACGTGATTCAGTGTTAGGCCATAGAGAAGCTAACGATCGAGTATTATCATTTATTATTGTTGATGTAAGGTCTAATGTTTCGTGTGGATTGAATAGATGATAAATAGAAGTGGCGAGTGTGTGACGTTCGGAAAGATGAACTATATTTGAGAAAAGCTAAAACGTATGTAATGAAATATTAGATATTGATATACATCACAAAATGTATATATTCACAATAAGATTGCAACCTTTTGACATTCATTTTCGAGAACATTTAAAGGCTTTTGATCTATTTTTGTTTTGAAAAATCCCGTTTTTGGATCATCATCTTCAAGTGCCTTTAAATATTATGTTTATAAGACAAAAGTAGATTTAATAAAGCATAACGAATTAAATTGGGTCTTTATCAAAAATTAATGAACAAAAAATGACCTCTATTGCAGCAGCAAATCTTTCCTTAATAGCAGCTTGAATAAGTAGATGATCGTGTTGTGCATCTTGTAAAGTAGTATGAATACAGGAAATTTCGTTTTTGGTTGGTGTCATCTTTGATGATTTACCTCCTTTTGCCGGTTCCAAATATATTAAAAAGTCACATGATTTTTATTTTGTGTAATTAATTAATTAATTAATTAATTAGTTTTTTAAGGAAACAAATAATACTTTTTTATCTACGATGACACTAATCAGACGTTTTATCGTTATCGTTATGTAATTCTGACATCTGGCATAACATTGTTTAAGTCTTCCAACCGATTTGTATTGATCCCTTGGAAAATAACACAAATTGGTTGGTTCGTATTTCAAGATAAACAATAGCAACCTCACCAAAGTTAACGTGTCGCTGAAAAAAGGAATCAAACATCACACATGTGCATACATATTTAATCCTAAATTAATCGAATTTGAAAATTTGCCATCATACTAATATAACAAAGTTTATCGTTTTTTTCTTCCCTCGAAAAAAGACATATAACCCTTGTTTCTCCCACAAACAACAAATACTTTCTTTAACAAACAAATATAGATACATATAGATATATTTTGTCATCTTGCGCTATCCTCGAGATTAATAATAATTATATTTTCTCTGGAATATTATTTACTCGTATCTTTGCACGATTAATTTCATTGTATTTGGAAAAATGAAGTCTTGCGCATTATTTGTGTGTTTTACTGCATTCTTTTTGGTATTTGCGCGGAGTGCTCAAGGTAATAATAATAGTAATAGCAATATATTCTTAAGGCAATGGAATGTGTTAAAGTTTTATTGTCTAACACGATTAATTTGCCTAAATTTTCTAGCTCAACTTCCCACCTTCACTTACAATCTCAATACGAAACCCTTAGCAGAAAAGCAGAATCTTTGTGAACAAAATAAAGGCTACTGTATCACTAACTGTGGTGGTATTAATCAGGTAGAATATAATAAACGTAACATTCTTTATTTACAGGAATGTAATATTAATTTATTCTTAAAAAATAAAAATTATTATATAGGCTCCTAAGGTTGGTATTTTGTTAACTTTAGCTGATTTTATATACACGGAAAATCTTTACTCAAGTTTCTTCGCACATTAAAAACCTCTTAGAATTTCTGTAATGCAACAACAATGGGTTGGGGCTGTGGCTGTCTTGAGAAAATCCCAGACTATCAAGGTAATGAAATGAATGAATTGGTTTAATTTTTGGTCATTTTAATAATTTTTTATAACGCACAGCATACGAATGGCCGATCAACTACCAAGATTGTCTTGGACATGGTGAGGTTAGTTGTTTTGTTCTACCTTTTGTGTTGCCATCTACGATCTTCCGTCCAATGTTTCTTATCGTTATTGAATAAAATGTAGGCGTGCAAAACTGCTTGCCAAAGTGATCAGGTGAGATCCTTTAAGTTTTCTTTGCTATAATTATCATGATAATATATTATTTACCTGTATTTTTATAGGTACCAGCTGACCAAAAAGGTTCATGTAATACCGCCTGTGTATCTAGCATCTCTTCAAAGTAATTAATTAATCGTTATCGTCTGATCATTCATTATTATTACCAACACGAAACTAACGATCTATTTACACATAAAAAGATGTGGTACAAAAGACCAACCACCAGCCTACTACAATGTAAACGATATGCTCGAAACACCCACCTACGGACCAAAGACGAACAGCAATAACAGCACCTCGAAAAATGGAACTAGCAGTTCGAATAATGGCACAGGATCAAGTAATTCGGCTGTACCCATAGGAATGACATTATATTCGTCTTTGGGATCTGCTGTTTCGGCGTTTATTGTCGTTGTTGGTGGAATGATGTTACTTTAATTTTATGGGGTGTATTTTTGGCTGCTTGGTTGGTTGATTAGAAACCCTAATTCTATTATTAACATCGCATAATTTTTTTGGACATTTTTTATTGCATTCTTCAACTATTCTTAGAGATTCATTTTCGAGGGAAGATAATTGCTGTTTCTTTTAGAGTAGTTTTTCATCATTTTGTTTGTGGGAATTGACCCCCTTTTTCATTATTCACTAACATTCGTTATTACTACCTTGTTTTTTACACCAGTAGGGATAAATTGCATTTACCCCTTATTTTAGATTTTAGAATATTCATAATAATGTTCGCATTGTTCAATTTTAATTTTACGACTGCTTTTAATACGAGATTTGAAAATTGCAGTAAAATTCAATAACTTTACGCAGATATCAGAAAATCGTGCTAAATCTTGTGATTTTTAGTATTGTTCTCGATAAGTGCATGGGTCCCTACGATCTGCACTTATCAAGAGTCGATTGTATAAAAATCATCACGTGAATATGTATAGAAAGTCAAGCGGGAAGCCTACGGACAGCGTTTAATCACGTGAACCTTTCCAGGTTAGGACGGAAAAATTTATAATCAGTGTATTGATGCAAATATAATGTTATTTATCGATTGGTGCTTTAATGAGAGAATAAAGGTTGATTTATTATGAGACTTGTTTTTAATGCCCAAAAACTAATTACTCTTACATTTCCTTCCCTACTCTCCTATATATTAAATCTCTTTTGGCGCTATCATGGCATTGTGAATGCATTTTCAGGTGATAATACACTTACACGGAAAATATCACGTGATTAATACTGTCCCGAGCACTGTCCAATGAAGAAATCCAACAAATCATATGATATGACCAGTGCTGAAAATTGGAACTTCAAAAAAATTATTATACGGTTCATTATATTATAGTTCTTATCAAAGGTATTACATTTAGTAATGTAATTTTTTTGTGATTAAAGTATTTGGATACAAATCCTTTACAGTTTAAAGTATTGGATGTCTTTAGACAGCTTGCGCATACGCGCACTACTTTTGTCTCACAAAATGCAGGAAGAAAAAAGCGTGAAAACTGAACTGAGCGTTAAACCTCATACTTCAAGAAGTGCAAAAACGTCAAAGTAAAGTTATTTTTGCCTTAGTTCTTTATTTCTACTGCCGAATGCTTATTTTCATTTGTCTAAATACATGATGCTTGTAATTGCTATTCAGACCCAAGAAATCAATATTTATAAATAAGCGCGCTGTTGTATGCGAGGATATCGTTTTGGAGGGAGAGATTCGTATAGGTAAATTGTACTAGATTACATCGAATTACGCAATTAATTTCCTTATAAAGCTATTTTCACGATGATAAATATTTTTGATATCATTGACTAGGTGAAGGTATTTATTAGTTATCATTCATAAAACTCAATTAAATCAAAAAAAAAATAGATTACAATTTGGTCAGTGTTTTCTAGGTACAGTTTTGCATCCACAGTGCAAAATTCTGGCCGAGCAGGGTCCTATTGTCATCGGTCAGAACAACATCATTGAAGAGAAAGTGACCATAGTAAATCGGTAAAATATATTTATCTTAAATTGGGTTGGAATTATTGATTTTGAATCGCTGCTAATGACAATTCACTTTCTCACCTAGACAGCAGAAACCTTTGCTTATTGGCGATGAAAACGTGTTTGAAGTTGGATCATGTGGGTTGAATTTCAATTCCGGTTTCGGTTGATAGTTTCTTGCTAAATAGACAAAAAATGGTGGTTTAATTAGATATTGAAGGAACCAAAATTGGCAATAAAAATATAATAGAAGCTAAAGGTGAAAGATCTATTGATAATAATTCATTTGGAATTTTTTGCTGGAAGATCTGTATACTCATTATTAATATTATTTGAGGATATCAGCACGGATAATGGGAACTACGTCTCTAGGAAATAATTGTGTCATTGGAGCTGTTTGTTCAACGAGAAACGATGAAAATATTCCGGATAATACGGTGATCTACGGGGATTATCATAATCGTAGAACTCAGACAAATGGTTCTAACGTATGTATTTTTTCACTTTCACAAACATCTGTGTATGCTTATTGAAAGAGCATCTTATTCTTATAAAGCAGTGGTGTGGTAATTTCAACTTAATCATCTTCTCTTATTGCCATTTTTTAGGCTAGCGTACATACACGACATTTGGACTATCTACGCGAGGTATATACTTGTGTTTTTTTATTTCTTATAAACTTTCTCTAACAATTTTTAAAAACTCAGGTGTTACCAAAATGCAATTATATCAAGGTAATTAGCTGTTTCTCATGTTGTCAATCATTAACTATCCTGAGTTTTAGAGTACTCCGATTGATAGAGTCACGTGTTATATTCATCATATTAGGTTAGTGAAAAACCTAAAGGTGAAGGATCTGAACGAGGGGATAAAGAAGGTGATGGGGAACGTGATCGAGAACGTGAACGAGAACGTGATCAGGAACGTAAAGAAAAACCTAAAGATCGAGGCTCCGCGCGTGAACCTTCATCAGGTCACCGTGAAGCCCGCTCTGTTAAAAAAATACACTCATAAGAGGTTGATTCTTATACTCTTGGCTTCTATTACTTTTAGCATATTTGATGGTTTCTATTAATCCTTACAATTAGGCAGCAGTAAGAATATATTATATTGAAAAAAGTCTTCATAATTATTTATTACCTTTAGACAAAAAATGTATTCTAGCTTATTCTATGTGCATCGATTTGTCTATATGTTCATATTGTTACACTTTCTTATTAATTATCTAAATCTTAATAATAAAATGCAATTTAACAGTATTATTTTAACAGTATTATTTTAAATCTATTTACACAAATTCTAATAACAAATCCAATTAATAATATCTAATTAATAAAAATATCTAATTAGTAGAAATATCTAATTAATAAAATTATCTATCTAATTAATAAAATTATCTAATTAATAAAACTATCTAAATAAAAATATTTAGAAGCTTTGTAACGCTGCAAACAGCCTATTTTCCGCCTCCACATACTCTCGTTGTTCCCTAACCCGTTTCATCGCCCACTCGACACGCACTTGATAGAAAACCCAGTTCATAGAACGAAGAACACCAAGTAAATTTTGCAAGAATTCTTCATGTTGTTCGAGCCAAATCAAATCTTTGGGATTTTTTAGCAAAAGATTCGGGAGCTCGAAACAAGCATACGATACTTTGCGTTCTACTAAGATTTGTTCTGCGAGCTCTTGTTGCCTTTTGAGTTGATCTTGTTCTTGTTCGGCCTTTTTGCGTAATCTGGGATCTCGATCTTTATTTATGATGTGGCGTGCTGGTTGAGTAGCTGGGCGCGCATACGGGTTATAATGATTAGATTTGGTCGACTTGAATAATGAACTGCGAGGTGTTTGGGAACCACGTTCTGGGCGAAGTTTTAAGAATGAAGACGGTTTCTTTAAACAGGATTTGAGTGGCTTTTCATTACT